GTAACCCTTGTCTCCAGAAGGTCATGCTGGGCCCCATCCCCCAGCCCCTCCTCAAGGCTCCCTCATGGACACCGCGGCGAGGGTTGCCTGTTCTGTGTTTCAGGACACTGCCCTGTGAAAATGAAGATCTTTTTTTCTTTCTGACTTTGCCCTGACATGTGGGTCCAGGTATTATTTATTATCTGGCTCTTTTCCCTGCCCCCAAGCAAGGACTATATTTAAGCCAATTCAAACTTTGCAAGTCTTAAAAATAACTCTCTCTTTGCTGACCCCTTCCAGGTTTGGCAAGGGCTTCCTTCAAACAGGAAATCCATCTCTTCCTACCTGCTCAGCTCTCAGGATTAACTCACCCGGTGATCTATTCTTACTTCGTTAAGCTACAAATTGACAAAATCATTGTGTGTGTGTGTGTCTGGGGGGGGGGGGGGGGGGGGGGGGCAGTGGGGATCTCTTCTGATTTTCAGTGTGGAAGGATAACTTCTTTAACACAAAAGTCATCATGGCTCCCTATGAATAGTCATGCATCTTTATCTACATGTACCTAAAAGTTATGCCAGACTTCTGAAAGTGAACATTACTGTGACTGTTTTAAAGAGCCACTTTTAAATACCTCATGTCCATGGCCTACATTTAAGCTGATAATTATCTCAAAACTGAATTACTTTTATACTGAAAAGAGACCTCTGGAGAGTTTCCTTTTTCTTTTTTTTTCCTCACCCAAGGACATTTTTCCATTTTTTGTTCAGATAGAGTGGGAGGGAGGGAGGGAGGGGGGAGAGAGAGAGAGAGAGAGAGAGAAACATCGACATGAAAGAGACACATCGAGTGGCTGCCACCCACACGTCCAACCAGGGCCGGGGACAAACTGCAGCCAAGGTACATGCCCTTAGCAGGAACTGAACCCAGGTCTCTCCAGACAACAGGCCAACGCTCTAACCGCTGAGCCAAACCGGCCAGGGTGAGTTTCCTTTTTCTGTAGTTTCTTCCTTTTAATGGAATTTTTAGTGTGATTGTGGGTTCCAGTCTCTCTGCCCTGACTGCCTCCCCACCCATCCTAAGAACAGGGTCTTTTTTTCTGTCCTCCAAATGCTACTGCAGTTATCCAACTCTCCATCCCTGGAGGAGCCCCTGAAACTATACCTCTCTCTTCATGAGACGAGACCCTGAGCAATAATGAGCGGGAATCTTTGGTCACAGAAGGACCTTGGTATGATAAAAACTGACTTTATTAAAAGTTATAGAAAACATAGGGACCAACAATCAGGCTCCATCCTGAGGGGAATGTTTCCACTTGCTTAGAAATAAAGAGTGGAAGGTATTTGGAGGAGAAAAGGTCAACAGAAGAAAGATAAAGGTCAAATGCCTCCCATTCGCACCTCCCCACCCCCAGGTGCCTTGCATCCCACCATCCATGGGTGTGAATGGAGAGATTTCTCTGTCAAGTCCTGCAGTGGCTCTGACTCCTGACTCTCTCTCCTTTGAAATAGGTGGGTCCATTGACCAGCCCTGCTGTCCAGTAGAACCCCCTCTTCCTTAAGCCATTTGAGCACTTGCCATGCCTGTGGCTGGTGCAACTGAGGAGCTAAATCTTGAATTCTATTTATTTCTATTTCATTTACATTTAAATGACCACATGTGGCTAAAGGCATTGGTGCTGGGTAGCACAGAGCTGGAGGGGAGGGAGAGGATTTGCTGGAGTAGTGAGCGCTCTTTCTTACCACCAATAATGTATCTGGACAGTAGTACAGAGCAGACTGAGTCCCCAAAGAGGAGGTCCTCCCCAATGTATTAAATTTGAGAAAGAAAAAGATCGTTGTTTTGAAAAAGAAATTGAAATAATTGAGGTTTGAAGTTTTCACTGAGGTGAAACAGATTTTATTATTATTATTATTATTATTATTATTAACAAATAGGCTTGGGATGAAAGCAGGGAGCTAAGAGGAAAGTCCTACATTTTTTTTTCTTTTTTAACTCCACTTTGTTCGGAAAAATTGCTGAAAACACTGTGCCTGTCCAAGGGATATGTTTGCCTAGGAAAACAGTAGAGTAAATAGTTGTCTAATTAGATGTCCAGGTTCTCAGCCGGCTGTGGTCTGCCTCCGTTTTGTTTTTTCATCTGTTGAGCCACACTTCACCTGGGAAGGTAGAAAAGGTCAGGAATGAGAACTAGTTGATTTTGCCTTCTTGGCTGTGTTCCGGAGAGAGTCTGGTGGGAAAGGACATGAAACATCTCAGATTCTGGAAGATCCCAGCTAGTCCTGTGTCCAGTACTTAGTCATTGGTGTGTTTGCCATGTTTGTCTGGAAAAACTTCAATTTTGGGATGTTTCTTCTTTATTACTGATTATCCATCACTGGATGTCTGCTGAGTAACTGGCTCTGTGTTTTATGTTGTGAGATTCAGGTTTAAGACGCATCATTTAGTACTATAGCACATGGTACCATAAGGTGGGAAAGATAAAGTATGCACTCTTAGAATAAATGTCAGAAAGGTAGTCATCAAAGTGTTAATATTTCAATAAAGAATAGGAGTGTGTGTGTATGCACACATTTAGCTAATGCATTGGTGGCAGTTAGTGGAGTAAAAACGTTGTTATTATAGTGATGTTGGGTTCCTTTTAAACTGAGAATCATCTTGGTTGGTATCTCTACTGAGAATAACCTGGTAAGTGGCAACAATGAATGATGGTAAGATAGTCAAGGTCCAGACAGAGAGAAAACGGGGCAGACAGAGTTAAAGCAGTAAGCCATGGTCTAAAGACTGCCCTGGGAACCTGGCATCCCACTTGCCTGTCCCTCCCCTTGGTGTTGGCTCCTCACCCCGGTCCTTCTTGGCACATATCTTTGGCTGGGTTTCTCTGCTAGCAGTACTCTCCAGCTTGGCTCTGGCTTCAGGGCTGGTGTGTGCCCTCTGTCCATATTCTCGACTCACACCTCCAGCAGTGGGCCACTGCCTACAACTGAGGTCTGGGCAGTGCCTTCCTTCCGGGGTGCTCAGTGGGCACCACCCCATTCCCTCTGCAGTCCCAGGCCCATCTGTTTCACCTCTCACCTAGGGCAGGCAGCCATGACAACTGTTGGCCCCAGTACCCATCATTGTAGCCAAAGGATGCTTTATTGAAAGAAGAACATTTAACAAAAGCTAAAACAGAAATGGGGCCCAGGGTCTCTCAGCATCCAGGAGAATTTCTCAGTCCTGACATGTCAAAAGGACTCAGCAGCCAGCATGGAGGAGCTCTCAGGAGCTGGCCAAGCTGGGACAGGTTGAACATAAAATAAACAATGACAGTAACAGGTTATTAAATAAAATAAGAATCTGTGAGTCCACATTTGAATGAATGAATGAATGAATGAATGAATGAATGAATGAATGAGATGGAAATAACTCTTCCTTTGAGTGGGCAAAATAGTGGAATTAGAAAAGTCACTATATGGCAGCCATCATAATTGTTTCAAGCAAGAACCATAAATTAATACTAAAAGTAGTGGCTAAATGCTTGATAAACAGGCCCTTTACACAGTTTCAAAGTATATTGCTACAGGATACTTATTAATTACAAAGGGGGAGAAAAGCAGGAATTCTGCAGTGAGGAACCTGGCTGACTTCCCACTACTGGGCATTGTGCCTCCTGCTGTGCTGCCCTGGGAAGCTCTCATCACTCCTGGGAAGTCCTGTCAGGAGATACCATCAGCAGATTCCAGCTGAGGGGTATTCTACAAAATAACTGGCCTGCAAGGGTTTGCAAGACAAAAATAAGCAAGGCTGAAGAGCTGTCCCAGTTCAGAGGAGACTAAGGAGACAGAACAGATAAGAGCAACGCATGAGCCTTGATTGTATCCCATGAAGAAATGTTTTCTTTTTTATTTTATTTCATTTAAAAACTTTTTTTATTAATTAATTTTTGTTACAGATGTTTCTCCTTTCTCCCCACTGATTCCCCCCTCCCCCTCCCTTCCTGCCCTGTCCCCAGCTTTGTTGTCCATGTCTATTGCTCATGCATACATGCATATAAATTCTGTGGTTTATCCCTCCCCCACCACCCCCTCTTCTGGGGATTGTCAGTCTGTACCCCACTTCCACGTCTCTGGGACTACCCCATTCCTCAGACTGTTATGTTCATTATATTCCACAAATAAGTGAGATCATATGATACTTGTCTTTCTCTGTTTGGCTTGTTTCACTTAGGATGATACTTTCCAGGTCCCTCCATGTAGTCTCAAAGGATAAGAGATCTTTCTTTCTTACAGCTGCGTAGTACTCCATTGTGAATATGTACCACAGCTTTTTTATCCATTCATCTACTGATGGACACTTAGGCTGTTTGGGAGCATAATTGCCAATGATATATCAGATAAGGGGTTAATTTCCAATATATATATAGAGTGCTCATACAACTTAACAAAAGGAAGACAAAGAACCCAATTAAAAAATGGGCAGAGGAGCTGAATAGACACCTCTCCAAACAGGACATACAAATGGCCAAGAGACATATGAAGAAATGCTCAACATCACTAATCATCAGAGAGATGCAAATTAAAACAACAATGAGGTATCACCTCACACCTGTCAGAATGGCCGCCATCAACAAATCATCAAACAACAAGTGTTGGCGAGGCTGTGGAGAAAAGGGGACTCTAGTACACTGCTGGTGGGAATGCAGGCTGATGCAGCCACTATGGAAAACAATATAGTGTTACCTCAAAAAATTAAAAATTGAACTTTCATTTGACCCAGTGATCCCACTTCTAGGAATATACCCTAAGAAGCCTGAAACACCAATCGGAAAGAATATATGTACCCCCATGTTTGTAGCAGCACTATTTACAATAGCTAAGATCTGGAAACAGAAATGTTTTCTTTTCCTTTAAAAGACATTAGTGAGATAACCAGCAAAATGAATAAGGTCTGTAGATTAGATAATAGTATTGTTATTATTGTTAATTTCAATAACATTTTGGCAATTTTATGGTGCTTGTGTAAGAGAATGTTCTTGTTCTTAGGAAATACACTAACCTCTGAAGGTTAACCGGGAGCTGCCTGGCCGTGTCATTCCCTGTCTCTTGATTGAGTTGTGGGTTACAGGACTGTCTACATTTGTCAGAACATACCGAGCTGTACGCTGAACAGCTGTGCATTTTTTCATATGTAAGTTATGCCTTGTTGAGAAAGCAATCAGAAAAAAATAAACATTTTATTGAAAAGACAATCCAAAATTGTTTAGTGTGTAAAGCCAATGCAGTGGGTGCAAATGTTTCCAAAATGGCTGCTTTGAAATTTCAGAGTGGTCCCTGATCTGAACACGTTAATTATTTTTTCATAATTCACTATTTCATTGTCATATATTATTTCCCTTTATAGCATTTAGCATTGTGTTGTACACAATAAATGTTAGCCAATTGTTTGATGATTGATATCTTAGACTTTATAACAAACACACTTCATCCCATTTGAGATGTTGCAGACAGGAAAGACATTTTTATTTCCAGGGAGGAGCAGAAAGTAACTCCAGGTCAGAATTTTCCGGGCTCTCACAACCTCCTGCCATCTAACAGGCCAGCTGCAGAATGGTGAGCTTGTGGTTTGCAGTCTGACAGTTTGCTTATTGGAGTTTCCTTTTAAAGGACCCCAGCCAGCTCCCCTACATTGTTCACAAAGGTTGGAGAATGTATTTATTACTATTTTAATCACCCTCCTATGCCAGGAAGCTTTAGGATGTTGTAATCCTTCCACCTCCAAGTCAGATGGAGTAAAAAATGTCATGCCAACCTTGCCCAGTGAGAGGATGAGGAATGCAGACATGAAGTCAGGGCTCTGAACCAGGAGCAGAGTTCCTGTCAAGGAAGCAGGGTCAGGATCTCACCCTGGCAACATCTCACTACATTATGGCTCTGGATGCTCAAAAGCAGAAATCTAGCTCTCACATCCGGCTGGCTCTTGGCCTTCAGGAGTCTGGCAGGTTCCGTTTATCACACACTTAAGTTCCCTGGGCAGCATTTTGACCCTTATTGCAAATGATGAAACTGAGGCTCAGAGATATGAAATCACTAGAACCTGGACTTTCTTACCTCTTTTCTGAGGTTCTTTCCAAGATATCACACAACCTGTCTTAGTGTGGGTTTCCCCTGAAGTGGACCCTGAGCAAGCACTTGAATGTAGGGCATCTATTTGGAGGTAATCCAGTGAAGGTGGGAGCCCTGGTGGTAACTTGCCTTGCTGGAGAACTCTGGGAAGCACTGTAAAACCTGCACCTCAGCACGTTCTCACCCCCGGTGGGGAAGGGAGCAAGGTGGGCATACACCAAGTCTCATTAGTAGTTGGTTGAGGGCTGCTGTGGTGGGGTGGGGTGAGGTGTTAATTCCTGAGACATTCTGTCCATTATACATTTGGGCAAAGAAATGTTGATATTGGTAAGTGGAAGTTGAGGTGGCCAGGACTGAAATGGTAAAGACTGAGGAGGTGTGGGGAGGGTGACCACAGTGTCTTCCAGGCTGCCTTTCAAGTGCTAGCCCATGGGGAACAGACTGTTAAAGTTTGAGCAGGAAAAGAGCATTTTGGACTGGACTCTGATCTGATCTTGGAACAGGATCATATTGCTCTGGGAACCAGTGGCTGGGCAGTCACTGAAAAAGGCAGTGGAAGTGTGGAAGTACAGGATTCTCCAGCTCCTCAAAACAGGCCCAGGCCTCCAAGGTGCCAACCACTAGTAATAACCACCACTACCCCCAAAATATGGGGCAAGCACCCTGGCATCATTCCTCCACACCTCCACTTAGTGAAAGCCTCCCATGCTTTTTAGTAATGTAACCTTATGGGATGGGACCCTAGACTCAGTTCTAGTCCCATATCTGGAACTACATAGCATGTAACATCGACCAAAGTTCCTAACTTCTTGTGTCTAGAATTTCTCATGTGCTGTAGTTGTATTTCTTAACATCTTCTACCTCAGTGGAAGTGGCAGAAGTTGAGGGCAGGCAGACCATAAAAGGAAGCATTGCAAGGGGATGAAACTATGTGAGGCCCAGGAAGAGCGCAAGGATAGCACAACCTACTGCTGTTCTTTTTCATTGCCACAACTCACCCAGACATGTCAGCCCTCTGAGGTTGGGCGTGCTCTGAAGAAAAAGAGCAAATTGAAAACAAAACAACAAAAAACAACTTGAACCAGAGAAACTAACAACCCAATGAACAAGTAGGCAGAAGACCTGATAGAAACTTCTCCAAAGAAGACAAACACATGGCCAATAGATGTATGAAAAGATGCTCAATGTCATTAATCATCAGAGAGATACAAATTAAAAATGCAATGAAATATTACCTCACACCTGTGAGAATGACTATCATCAATAAATCAATAAACAACAAATATTGGTGAGGATGTAGAGAAAAGGGAACCCTAGTACATTGTTGGTTTGAATGCAGTTTGGTGCAACCACTATGGAAAACAGTGTGGAGATTCCTCAAAAAATTAAAAATGGAATTGCTTTAGGACCTAGCGATTCCACTTCTGGGAACATATCCGAAGAAACCTGAAATGCTAATTCAAAAGAACATATGGGCCCTGACTGGTGTAAGTTTGTTGGGCATCATCCTGTGCACCAAAAGTTTGTGTGTTCAATTCGCAGTTAGAGCACATGTCCAGGTTACAGGCTCAATACCCAGTAGGAGGCATACAAGAGGCAGCCAGTCAGTGTTTTGCTCTCATATGAATGTTTCTCTCTCTCTCTCCCTCTTCTTTCCTCTCTATCTAAAAATAAATTTAAAAATCTTAATTAAAAAATATATGCACCCCTGTGTTCATTGCTGCATTATTTATAATAGTCAAGATATGGGAGTCAACCAAGTATCCATAAGGACATAAATGGATTAAAAACTGTGGTACATATACACGATGGAATATTACTTGGCCATAAAAAAGAATGAAATCTTACCCCTTGCAATAGCGTGAATGGACCTAGAGGGTATTATTATGTTAAGTGAAATAAGTCAGACAAAGACAGATACCATATGATTTCACTTATATGTGGAATCTAAATAACAAAATAAATAAAATATAAATAGACTTATAGAGACAGAAAACAGACTGACAGTTGTCAGAGGGGAGAGGGATTGGGGAGCTGGGTAAAAATGGTGGAGAGATTAAGAACTAAAAATTGGTAGTTACAGAGTAGTCAAAGAGATATAGATTACAGCATAGGGGATATCAATAATATTATGATAACTATGTATTGAGCCAGGTGGGTACTTAAAACATCAGGAGACCACTCTGACTTTCTGACCACTGTGCTGTGCTTTTGAAGCTGGTATAGACTATAAACTGTAATTGAAAAACAAAAATTTTAAAAATAAAAATAAAGTCAAATAAACAACAATAAGAAGGCTCCTAGAAATGAAGGCCATGACCTTGGCCTCAGTAGTGCTATCTGGGAGCAAACTCAGTTATGTCATTCATATGTTTATTATGAAAATGGTGAAACAAAAACCAAGGAACAAATCAACAAACAGACTAAGCCACCTTAGAGAGGCTTCCTGTCTCTTTACTAGCCGTGGAACCCCACTGGAGTAACAAAATTGGGGTTCCTTTGTCTGAGCCCCACTGATCCCTGTTATTAAGAGAGAGACCTGGGCTAGGAAGGAAGGGTCAATGGAGAGAAACAGGAGAACAGTCGTGAATGCAAGTCTTTTACTCCACATGCTTAACACCATTGAGTAAAAGACACAGGGAACAACCGCAAATTTCTCCTTTGCTCTGTGGTAGCAGAATTAGATTTAATCAGGTGGCATCAGGAGGGGAATATTTGGACCTGTCTATGGAAAGTTTGTCTGTTTCACCATTTCCTGTGGTGGCCTGAGGCTGGTTGGGACCATAAGTGAAATAAATTATATAGAGAGGACACGTGGCCAACTTACTTACTGAAAAAAAGGAAAAGAAAAGAAAGAAAGAAATCCTTTAGCTTTGTGGTTTTTTTTGTTTTTGTTTTTGTTTTTGGTCCCTTTTCATTAAAGGGGGATCCTGACAATTAGTTCTGGATCAGGGACTACAGGTTGGATCTCTGCCCTTGTTCCACTTTGTCTTTTCAAACAAATGTTTTTGCTCTGGGTTTTCTTTGTTGCTGGTATTTAGCTCCTGAGAGAGGATCTAACTTATACAAACTAATTTCTCCCTCAGCCCACCCCAAAGGGGATCAAGCCAGAAGCAGAGGCCTCTTGTGTGGCCACTGCTCTGTCCTGGCCAGCATTCGCCCCACCATCACCTCCTTTGCAAAGCAAGGTTCCTGAGCTGGGCAGAACTCTCCTTGAACCTGGCTGAGCAGTTGAATGGGGGACTGGTAGTCTGGAAGGAGCAGTGTACCATATTGGTTTATGGTATCAAAATTCAGAAAGCTAGAGAGGAATGGAACTTGAGAGGGGAAAAAGAACTCCCACTTTTCAGAGAAGAAGGGGGAAGGCACTGGTAGTAGAAGCCCTGGTAGGGACTCATGGTCACGATCTTCATTTCCAGCTCACTACATGACTTTGGAAAGTAAGTCCAAGAATCTGTACCTTGTTTCCTCATTGGAAGAATAAGAGCATGGAGTACCATGCTTAGAGGTGGTGTGTGTCTCTGTGCATCTCCTAAATCCCTGTTGTGGTTAGTCACAGCTTCTTTCAGGTTCTTCTTGAATACGCTGAATACTTGGATTAACTTTTAAGGATTCCTTATTCATATAGCTGTCACCCAGTGACTGATAACAACTTCACACCCTTATTCTGTAAGGTAGCATGGGTGCTTCGATGCCAAAATGTGTTTGGCTTAAGAAGAGGTTTGAGATGGGGGAAGTGTGAAGTGATAGTTTATTGTGTGGCCAGAGGACAAAGCAGGGAGTTCCAATCATGCTTCAAAATTAGGAAAGTCCCCTAGTTTCTCTGCTTAACCAACCCCAAGATGTCACCCAAATGTCACCTGGGATGGGCTGAGAGAAAGCAAGGTGGGCTGCTGCCCCTCTCAGCACTGGAGTTTCCTTTTCTTTCTGGTCTTGTATGAGCAACCCTAACCTTGTTGAAATGCAGAGATTTTTCCCTTGAGTTGGCACACTGGTGAAACAGGTTAGAATCATTCCCTCGAATATTAGGCAAGGTACCTGCCCACTACACACTTAGACAAGCAGAATCCTGACTATGGAACATACTTCCTCTTCAGTGCTCAGTGTAAGACATGGAAAATCAAAGACTGCCATGCTCTCCTATCTCTCCTGGAGCTTTGGGCACATGGTGGGTTTCCAACCGTCTCTGTGGACTTGGAAGAGCTAATGATTTTACAGGGCTTTATAATTATAAGTTGCACAGTTCTTTCAGAGACATGATCAGAGTTTATTCTCACCACAAGCATGGGGGTAGGTACCATGGCACTGTTTCCCAGATGAGGAGCTTAGATGTGGGTCCAAGAAGTTAAGGGATATGTCTCAAGTCAAGTTCTGATTAGCAGCAGGATATAGGATTCAGAGACTGTTATGGCCCTGCCATGGCCTTCACCTGTACTTGTGAGAGCATCTGTGTTCTTTGCCTGATGGCTTTTTCTGGCCACCTAAATGTGCTTTGCCTGGCTTTGTGGTAGACCAGAAGTCAGA